GGCAAGAAATTTAGGGATCGAGTTTTCACCGCAAAAAACTGAATTGGTAGTGTTTACAAGGAAGCGGTTTCCAGCCCAACTGCGTCTAAATATTTTGGGCAGAGACATTACCCAATCTTTAACCTTCAAATACCTTGGAGTCTGGTTTGATTCAAAATGCACTTGGGGTACCCACATTACGTATTTGAAACAAAAGTGTCAACAAAGGATCAACTTTCTACGATCAATTTCCGGGACATGGTGGGGTGCTCACCCGGAAGACCTCATTAAACTATATAAAACGACTATTCTTTCAGTTCTTGAGTACGGCTCTTTTTGCTTCCACTCGGCAAGAAAAAGCCACCTAATCAAATTGGAACGTATTCAATATCGTTGTTTACGTATTGCCCTTGGCTGTATGCATTCAACACACAATATGAGCCTAGAGGTCCTAGCGGGCGTAAAACCCCTGCAGAACCGATTCTGGGAGCTCTCATTAAGAATATTGATTAAATGTAGTGTCAGTAACAACCTTGTGATTGAAAACTTCGAAGAAATGCTCGAATTGAGCATCCAGTCTAGATTCGTGCGAATCTATCTTAATTATATGTCATCGGATATTAGCCTTCCTTGCTATACCCCCTCTCGTGTATGCTTTACTAACTACAGTTCCCCCATTGACTACGATCTCTCCATGAAACAGGCTATTCAAGGAGTTCCAGATCAACTTCGACCTATCTCAATTCCCCACATTTTTGCTGAAAAGTACCAACAAGTCAATTGCAATAGAAGATTTTTCACTGATGGATCACGCATTGATGGATCCACTGGCTTCGGCGTCTTCAATGAATACTCAACCGCCTTTCGGAAACTTCAGGAACCTTGTTCCGTTTATGTTGCTGAGCTAGCAGCAATTAACTTCGCATTGGGGATGATTTCCGATATGCCCATAGACCATTACTTCATGTTCTCGGATAGTCTCAGTTCGATTGAGGCTATTCGGTCGATGAAACAAGGTAGGCACTCATCTTATTTCCTTTCAAAGGTAAGGGAGCAGATGAGTTTGCTGGTCGAAAGATCATATATGATTACCTTTGTATGGGTCCCCTCACATTGCTCAATCCCAGGCAATGAGAAGGCAGACTCTCTCGCAAAGGTGGGCGCACAACAAGGCGAGATTTATGATAGAAGAATTTCACATGATGAATTTTTCCCATTAGTGCGTCAGAGTTCTCTTTTAAGTTGGCAAAACGATTGGACAAATAATTCTCTTGGGCGGTGGTTACATTCCATTATTCCAAATGTTTCTTCGAGAGCGTGGTTCAAAGGTCTGGATGTAAGTCGGGGCTTCATTCGAGTGATGTCAAGACTTATGTCCAACCACTACTCGCTAGACGCACATCTCTATAGAATAAACCTCGTTGACAGCAATATATGTAGGTGCAGAACCGGTTATGATGACATCGATCACGCAGTTTGGTATTGCCCGGGTAATGACGCCTCCAGAGCACGACTATTGGATACCCTAGTGGCCCGAGGTAGACAACCCTTCCGTGAAGTAAGAGATGTATTGGGAACACGTGATCTTCCCTACATGCAAGCGATCTACGAATTCCTTTGTTTGTCTGATGTTAGAGTTTGATGTGACTATCCCCTCCTTTCCAAACAATTTCCCGCCATTGTGTCCCAGTCTTATTATCCTCCTGTTCCTGTGCTACTTGCCCCTGCCCAGTCAGGATTTGGTCAACCGTCCGAGAGTAGTATCTGAAGGAGGCTTCAGAAACCAGTTTCCTACCTAGATCCTTCCAATTGAAATTGTTACCCATTAACCTCGAGCCCGCCACGAGTAATTGGTACCCAATACTAACCTAGAAATACTGCTATTTAAAATGTAAATCAAACATTACTGATTTTGGCTCCGCAAAGTGTCACACACGACTGAGCCTAGTAAATAAACGAACTAGTTAAAAAAAAAGAACAACGGCATGGAAAGAGTTCTGGGGATGTCGTTGAACACAGCAAAAGATGTTTTCGTGTTCACCACCGTTCTGCGCGATGACTTGCAATCGTTTTTGACGGATGGAAAGCTGCATTCCAAACGAATCCTGTTGAGCGTCGTCATGAGCTTGTGGACGCTGTATACTGTTTTCGGAAAAATGATCCTCCAGACCTCTGGCGGAACGGATGTCCGTGGGACGAGACTATCGACGACAAATCGGCAAGGAAGTGGTTAAATTGGATCGCGCTGTTGCCACAAGTGCAGGCAATGACAATTCTTCGTTGTTATTTTCTCGGTGCAAAGCCGTCTGATTACCAGAATCTTGAGCTTCACGTTTTTGCGGACGCAAGTGAAGATGCTTACGGGTGCGTCGCGTATTTCCGGATTCTGCTGAATGGACAACTGGTGTCGGCGAAGTCCAAGGTAACCCCTCTACAGTACATGACGATCCCTAGGATGGAGCTTCTAGCTGCGGTACTTGGTGCAAGACTGTCTGTTGCTGTGAAGGCCAATCACTCGGTACAGGTGAAACGGCACATCCATTCCGCAACGGTACATTCCTGGATTTGCTCAGACCACAGGAAGTACAAACAGTTCGTGGCCTTTCGGATCGGAGAAATACTAAGCCTCACGAATCCAATCGAATTGCGCTGGGTCCCCCCGAAGAACAACATAGCAGACGTGCTAACCAAGTGGGGAAACAACGGACCCAAATGTGAAAGAAGAGTCCCGGCCGTATAATTTTTCCACGGAATTTAGTTCTCTCAGCATCTAGTAGATACTACTCGTTTTTCGCGTTGGAGTAATTTGGTGCGATGCGTGGCTTGCGTGTTCCGATTCATTTAGAACTGCCCGCAGAAAGGTGAAGAAGCTGCACATCGAAACGATTCAAGTCACAATTTCGTTGTCGGCAATCAAGATTCCCTTGTAGAGCGACGAACATCGACAAGAGGAGAACTATCTGTGGAAAGCTTCGCAGCAAGATGGATTTTCAGATGAAGTCAAGACGTTGCTAAAGAACCGTGAGCTGCCGCAGGATAAGTGGCTCAACATTAAACGATCCAGTTCACTGTACACATTGTCCCCGTTTCTGGATCAATTCGGAGTAATCCGGATGGAAGGGCGGTCGGCCCATACAGATTTCATCGCCTTCGAGCAGCGGTTCCCCATTGTGCTTCCGAAGAGCTACGACGTCACCAACAAACTTCTTCTTCACTATCATGTCAAGTTCGACCACGCAAACCGTGAGACCGTGGTGTACGAACTCAGGCAGCGCCAACCAGCAATTCCCAGGATGGCACCTCTACTTGTACAACGTCTCACTCCTCAGCTACGACTATTTCGGTTCGGTAATCGTCACCTTTGGACGATGATCAGCGAAGAGATGGAACTGCTTGTTCACGTGCCTAGCGACCCCGGGCAGTCCAGTAGCCATGTGTAATGGCAACCAGGCGATTCATCTGCAGGAGAAGTGCACCACTGGAGTTCTTTTCAGACAACGGCACAAATTTGCAAGCGGCCAGCAAGGAATTGGTGCAAGAGGACACGTTGGATCTTCAATCCTCCTTCAGCGCCACACATGGGCAGTATTTAGGAGCGGCCAATGAGATCGGCTAAGGACGCACTGAAGGCTTTGCATGATGGCAGAAAATTGACGAATGAAATCCTACTCACTGTGCTGACTGAAGCTGAGGACATGGTGAAATCTCGGCCACTCACACATATACCATAGGAATCAGCAAATGTCGAATCCCTCTCGCTGAATCACTTCCTCCGCGGTATGTCTGATGGGGAGCGTGAAGAAGCTCGCGTGCTGACCAATTTGGCTCAACCAAGCGTTGCGGGATAACTGCAAGCCGTTCCAGGAGCTGGCTGATATGCTGTGGGCGTGGCAAAGGTGGCTGAAGGAGTACATACCCACCACCAATCACCGTACCAAGTGGAACGGGGAGCAAGAGCCTATCCAAGAAAGAGAACTGGTGTACGTGGTGGACGGGAAGAATCGAAGAACTGGACCCGTGAAGTTGTGGAGAAGGTTATTCGAGGCATCGATGGGAGAGTACGTCGAGCACTGGTGAGAACAGCAAAAGGTTCGTACCGACGTGCAGTTGCCAAGCTAGCGGTGATGGAGTTGAGGAGTATATCTGGGCAGATCCCTGGTTCCGACCAGAGCTACGGGATGGGGAATGTTGCCATCACCGTTGGTCATAACACCATTGACCACTGACGGGCCTGTCGATAAGTGAGGATAAGGACAAACGTCATGGCACGGCAGTGACAGGTGTTCATCAAGAAGGTTGAATATTAGCAAAAGTGAAGTCTAAAAGGATATACACAATTTGATTTTTGAGATTTTGGGCAGATCAAATAATCAGAAAATACACTTTCTTGAAGCAGGCCGTAACCTACAGCTCAAAACTGAAAATTATATATTAAATACAATGAAATTAACGGTAATTATTCCACTTAATTGCATGATTTCATATTCGTTGTTTTGTTTGTTTTGCAATAGAGAGTAAATTCACAGTGTTATGCAACCATTCTGCATAGGAGTATTAAGCGAAAACCCAAAACATGATAACTTCAAGAAAATATTGCTCGAAAGCGAAACAAACAAATTGCTGATTTTTTTTATATAGGGGAAGTTGATGTAATGTCGGCTTGAATGCCCCTAATTTAGGCCCATACATAAATTCAGCAATCGACTAAATTTTCAATAGCGACCCAATGACGCGCTCATCTAGATAAAATTGATAAATAGCAGATTTCTAGCGATGGGTCCAATCTTAGATCCATAGGCCAATATTCGAGCCATTTCTCCTATATTGTGTTAAAAAGCCTAAATTTTCAAGGAAAAATAAAAAAAATATTACGTCTAATATTTTGCGATGAGGAACAAAACTACCAATGTTTACGAAATTCTAAACACCACTATATCGATTTGCTATGTCTGTTTGTATGTGAAATTAATAATCTGCATGCCCATATTAATAATTCAACTTCCCTATCTGTACCATTCCAGCTTTCGTAACGTGTCAACCCCTACTCCGGAAGTTATAATCCATCACCCGATAGAATGCATCACAAACTGCAGTAAACCATCAACACTAGACCAACCCCAGCCGGGTTGTTCCCTACGTAGACGCAACGTAAACTGGGACCCTCAGGTTTCCGCTGCTAATGGAAATGCACGGACCAACGGCAACTTAACTTTGAACCCACCGGAAGCACCCATCGATGACGACGGCTTCGAAAGCCTGAATGGGAAAAGTTCCGGCGGAGAGGATAGCTCAAACGCAGGCGGACCCGCCAAAGTATACTACAACAAGAAACTACCGTACACCAACACGTGGATCAACGGGATCCCCCAGATCGAGAAAGAAGCCCGATCCGACAGTGACACCGATACTCTTCGCAATACTCCTACTAGTCAAGAGCAGTCCTGCACTTTACCACCGACGACATCACATCAGCTAGGGAAACCCAGAAGGCATCTTTCATCCGAGTCTGGTATTGAACTTCAACGGCACGATGACAGTAGCAAATCCCCGCTTCTACTGCTGGACGAAGACGAAACTCATCACGGTTCGGTGAATGCCGCTGGCGAATCAAAAGGCAGTGGGTTCGATGAGAAGTTAGAGTCCAGTGGTGACACCGACGAGGAAAACGATTTCGACCTGCATCACACTGAGTCTAGTCACCATCTTCATCACCATCACCATCTTCACCATCATCACCTGCACCATCAGCATTTGTCAGAAGGTACGGATTACAACTGTGGTATACATTTTGCCAACACCGATAGTGAGTATTTTTATTCTAACACTGACTAATTTTTTACTTTATGTTTTTATGTTTATGGAATTACGGGCTTACCTTCATTCTTCCATACCATGCATTATTCGTTTCACCTTCCTTTTTTCGTTACTAACTATTACTTGAGGTAACCTATCAAACGATTGTCTTATTATCGGTAGAGCATCAGTAAGGTTGGGTCGTCTGTCAAGAGTCGGTGTCCGGTGGGGATTATATATCAATCATAACATCCCAATTTCCGACAACCAATAACATCTATACTTTATCCCCAGGTGAAGATTGTAGTTACAGTTCAGATCTCAACCATTCTGACGATCAAAACGAACGTTCAGATGATGACTACGACCTGGAGGACGCTCCGACGATCATTCTGAATCCGTCTTGCGGTTCCAGCGATAGAGGTAGGCAGCTAATTTATTTCTCGAATGTACCTAACTAAACCCTTTTGCGAAACAGTCAGCTGCACGATCTGGGACGCTCGGGAAGCGAAGAAGGCGGAAATGTCCGTCCTGGACATTTCGTCCGCCATCATCGAACGTGTTGAAGCCATGCCGGAAACGTGTGACTACGTCTACATCGGCGTCGTACTTAGCATCATCCTTTCGTTGATACCGGCATTCTGCCGCCTGTGCGAAGCCACCGTCGATTCGTCCAGCACAACCGAGATTAACTTCCTGGACATGCCGGTGCTGCTGCTGGAAAAGGCCTCATTTTCATGCATCGCGATTCTGCGGTTTGCCTTCGGGGAATCGACTTGGGAGAAAACGGTTCTATTTTTAGGTTTCACGCTCCGGATATGCCTAACCTATTTGGTGTTTTTCCTGCTCGCCGTTGCCGAACGTACTTTTAAGCAGAGATTCCTCTATGCTAAGCTATTCTCACATTTAACTTCCTCACGGAGGGCGCAAAAGTCCAGCATTCCGCACTTCCGACTGAACAAGGTGCGGAACATCAAAACCTGGTTGTGCGTGCGATCCTATCTGAAACGACGTGGGCCGCAGAATTCGGTCGACGTGATCGTTTCGGCTGCATTTCTCATAACGCTGCTGCTGTTGGCGTTCCTGAGCGTCGAGTGGTTGAAGGTTTGTGTCATAGCTTAGTAAATCATGGAAAACTGTTCTAACGCTTGATGTTTCAGGATTCGGTTCATCTGCACTCGCAATTCAATCTGGAGGCGCTGGTTTGGTCATGCGCATTCGGGACCTTCCTGTTGCGGTTCATGACGCTCGGTACGAAAATCAACAAAAAGTACAAAAGCGTATCGGTGCTGATCACCGAACAGATTAATCTCTACGTACAAGTAAGATCTTTGGGGCTTTGTAGACAAAAATCGGAATTGCCTTATGTGCATTATTTTTTTCAGATTGAACAAAAGCCAAACAAGAAGGAGGAGTTGATGATCTCCAACAATGTTCTCAAGCTGGCTGCAGACCTACTCAAGGTAAGATGATGACTTCAGGGTGCTGCTTGTTCGAGGAATTTTAATTGTAATCGGCAAGCAATCAACATACCGCTCACCATGCGCCATACTTCTTGTGCCAAAATTTGAGGTTAACAATTCATTCTACGGCGAGTTCAGTGTTTAAAAAACATTAAAGAGAACCTATAGTGAATTTGGCAACACTGACGATTTATATCTCACACGGCCTCCAAAATGTAGCTAACTTTTGCTTAAAATACTTAAATTACACACATCTGTAGGTAGGGGCTGTTACATTTCGAACAAGGACGTTTCACCGAAGGACGTTTTGTCGACGAACATTTCGCCGAATGGGTCACAACTCGAAAGAACTGGACTTGTTTAAAAGAATTCTTCCTATAAATCAAAAATATTGATTATTTAGAAAATAACGAAATCAGTATAACTCGAAAGAGCTGGTCATGAAGGAAACATTTCTAAAAATGTTAACACATTGATTGTTTAAAAAATTCCGAAATCAGTACAACTCGAACGAACTGCTCATGTTTAAAAGAAGGAAGCATTTCTATAAATCAAAAATATATATTATTTCAAAATTTCTGAAATCAGTACAACTCAAAAGAACTGCTCATGTTCAAAAGAAAGAAGTATTACATTTGAAAGCTTGCCAAGTTGAAAAAATCGAACCTTCTTAATATTTTTTCGAGACTGATTTCAAAATTTACTGAGCTTTGAGAAAAAATCTAAACCGTAGAAAATGGCTTGCTCTTCGGCGAAATAACCCATTCGGCGAAATTATCCATTCGGCGAAATGACCTTCGGCAAAACGTCCTTCGGCGAAATGTCCCGCTCCCTTTACGTTAATTCTGGCGACGAGTACAACACACCGTTTCCATGTATTGCACGTGCCCTCATAATTTAGCGCATACTGGAATTTCCAAGGCCGGTAAATGCTGGGTAATGCGCAATACAGATCCCATTGAGATCACTAGCCTAGATCACTATTTCCAGCAACTCCTATACCTACCTCCCCGTGGTACCGGCCGGGAACTGTGAGCAACCTTAGGGAAGATCGGGTAACCAACCCCGGTGGGAACTTTGGTCATAGGCTGACAGGGAAAGGGGAGGTTTGCTTCGGCAAGCGTCTGTTCCCCATGTTAGGGGCGGCTGATCTACGTCCGAGTGCCAGTGAAGGACTCTAAGCACAACTGTGCACCCTGGTCCTCCGGAAAGTTAGGGGGTTGGTGTCAGGCCCTGCGAGCCAGACGTAAAAAAGCATTGCAACGGAAAATCAGCAACAGAGGAATACGAACCGAGACCAACGGAAATGACCCCAGCGACGAAATAGGACTTGCGATTGGAAACTCGGCACGTGGAACTGTCGATCTCTCAATTTCATCGGAAGCTCCCGAATACTCGCCAATCTACTGAAGGACCGCGGATTCGGCATCGTAGCGCTGCAGGAGGTGTGTTGGACAGGATCCATGGTGCGAACGTTTAGAGGTAATCATACCATCTACCAGAGTTGCGGCAACACACGCGAGCTGGGCACAGCTTTCATCGTGATGGGCGAAATGCAGAAGCGCCTGATCGGTTGGTGGCCGATCGACGAAAGAATGTGCAGGTTGAGGATCAAGGGCCGATTCTTCATCTTTAGCATAATCAACGTGCACAGCCTTCATTCCGGAAGCACTGATGATGGCAAGGACGCATTTTACGCGCAGCTCGACCAACAATCAATACGAAACTAACGATTTTAAATTGGCTCACTACTTGACTAGCCTATTGATCCCAAGCCAATTGATTAACGTCTCCATTCTAGTCAAAATTCTGTACTACACAATGTTTGTTTTGATTCGCTTTGAAAGTTTGACAGATAAAATGAGGGATTATTGGATTTTCCTATGTTTCGAGGGGTAAATCGATTAGCTTGGGACCGAAGATAGTACCAGAGCTGAGCCAAAAAGTTGAGCACGTTTCTTCAGGACCTACTAGTCTTAGAGTTACGTCTATGGCTCGACCGCGAGTACGATCGCTGCTCAAGCCACGACGTCAAGATCATCATAGGAGCCCTAAACGCTCAGGTAGGCCAGGAGGAGGAATTCAGACCGACGATTGGAAAGTTCAGCGCCCACCAGCTGACGAACGGGAACGGCCTACGACTCATCGATTTCGCTGCCTCCAAGAACATGGCCATACGTAGCACCTTTTTCCAACACAGCCTCCCTTATCGTTACACCTGGAGATCACCACAGCAGACGGAATCGCAAATCGACTACGTTCTGATTGATGGACGGCACTTCTCCGACATTATCGACGTCAGGACCTATCGTGGCGCTAACATCGACTCTGACCACTACCTGGTGATGGTCAAACTGCCCCCAAAACTTTCCGTCATCAACAATGTACGGTACCGACGCCCGCCACGGTACAACCTAGAGCGACTGAAGCAACCGGATGTCGCCTTAGCATAAGCGCAGAATCTCGAGGCAGCGTTGCCAGAGGAGGGCGAGCTCGATGTGCCCCTTCTAGAGGACTGCTGGAGTACAGTAAAAGCAGCCATCACCGACGCAGCCGAGAGCACCATCGGGTACGTGGAAATAAGTCGACGGAATGAATAGTTCGACGAGGAGTGCATAGTGATTTTGCAGGAGAAGAATGCAGCGAGGGCGATAATGCAGCAGCATGGAACCCGACAGAACGTGGAACGGTATAAACAGAAGCGGAAACAGCAGACATCTTTCGGGAGAAAAGGAGTGAAGTGCGAGGAAATGGAACTGCTGTGCCGTTCCCAAGAAACACGGAAGTTCTACCACAAACTCAACGCATCCCGCAACGGCTTCGTTTCGCGAGCCGAAATGTGCAAGGATAAGGACGGGAGCCTCTTGACGGACGGACGTAAGCTGATTGAAAGGTGGAAGCAGCAGTTCGAGGCGCACCTGAATGGCGAGGAAAACGTAGGCACGGGAGACCAGCGCAATTGAGGAAACGACTACGTCAGTGCAGCAAAGGACGGAACTGATCCAACTCCCACGCTGAGGGAAGTTAAGGATGCCATTCAGCAGCTCAAAAACAACAAAGCAGCTGGTAAGGATGGTATCGCAGCCTAACTCATCAAGATGGGTCCAGAAAAGTTGGCCACCTGCCTGCACCGGATGATAGTCAGAACCTGGGAAACAGAACAGCTACCGGAGGAGTGGAAGGAGGGGTAATCTGCCCCATTCACAAGAAAGGCGACCATTTGGAATGTGAGAACTTCAGAACGATTGCCATTTTGAATGCCGCCTACAAAGTGCTATCCCAGATCATCTTCCGTCGTCTATCACCTAAAATGACCGAGTTCGTGGGAAGTTATCAAGTCGGCTTCATCGACGGCCGGTCGACAACGGACCAGATCTTCACCGTACGGCAAATCCTCCAGAAATGTCATGAATACCAGGTCCCAACGCATCATTTGTTCATCGACTTTAAGGCGGCATACGACAGTATCGACCGCACAGAGCTATGGAAAATCATGGACGAGAACGGCTTTCCTGGGAAGCTGATTAGACTGATCAAAGCAACGATGGACGGTGTGTAAAACTGAGCAAAGATTTCGGGTGAACATCGCTCTAGAAGGTGTAATGCGAAGAGCCGGGCTCAACAGCCGGGGTACGATTATCACGAAATCCGGTCAATTTGTGTGCTTTGCGAACGACATGGACATTATCGCAAGAACATTTGGAACGGCGGCAGAACTATACACCCGCCTGAAACACGAAGCAGCAAAGGTCGGACTAGTGGTGAGTGCGTCAAAAACAAAGTACATGCTAGTAGGCGGAACCGAACATGACAGGATTCGTCTAGGAAGTAATGTCACGATAGACGGGGATACTTTCGAGGTAGTGGAGGAATTCGTTAACCTTGGATCCTTACTGACGGCTGACAACAATGTGAGTCGTGAAATACGAAGGCGCATCATCAGTGGAAGTCGTGCCTACTACGGGCTCCAGAAGACACTACGGTCAAAAAAGATTCACCCCCGCACCAAATGTACCATGTACAAAACGCTAATAAGACCGGTGGTCCTCTATGGACACGAGACATGGACTATGCTCGAGGAGGACCTGCAAGCACTCGGAGTTTTCGAGCGACGTGTGCTAAGAACGATCTTCGGCGGTGTGCGGTGAGTGGCGGCGAAGAATGAACCACGAGCTCGCTGCACTCTACGGCGAACCCAGCATCCAGAAGGTGGCCAAAGCCGGAAGGATGCGGTGGGCAGGACATGTTGCAAGAATGCCGGACTACAACCCTGCAAAGTTGGTGTTCGCTACTGATCCGGTTGGCACAAGAAGGCGTGGAGCGCATATAGCACGATGGGCGGACCAGGTAGAGCGTGACCTAGCGAGCATTGAGCATGACCGAGGATGGAGAGCGGTAGCCGCAAACCAAGTATTGTGGCGTACTTTTGTTGATTATGTCTTATCTTAAATGTGATGTTGTACATATAAATGTATGTATGTATGGAATTTCCAAGGGGTGTTCAACTCTGCACATCCCAAACTGTGCCAAGTACTTTATCTGTGCCGAAAACTAGGTCAAGCGTTGTGCCGAACGTGCCGCAGTGTGGCAAACAAGCTATCATTTTCAGTAACCGATGCGTTTGGCAACCCTGCACTTATGATTTTTGAGATTATCTGTTTACATTTTCAAGTCAAGGACGGAAAAGGGTCGTGAAACTTAATCCCAAGATAATATTCATCGGTTGCCGATCATCCGCTTCAAGGAAATGACACTCGAAGATTAGCCCCTCCGCGAGAAGGAGAAGGGTGACTGATGGCAAAAGCTGTCCATCCAGGAAAAAATCCAGGAGGATTTCCGGGCCGATATCAAACGTTAGGTACACTATCTGAAAAGATCGAAAGCAAAGCATCTGCAGTATATACGTGACGAATCGACGGAACCCTTAGTCGGATACGCTGACGCTGACTGGGCATTGGACGCGAAGGACAGGAAATCGATCAGTGGTTACTTATTTACAG